TAGAGATTCTTCTCTGAATAACAAGATGGAGAGATGGAGATTGAAGCCCAAACAAGAAGATGATCTCCTCCACTTGTGAAAACTTCTTCACAAACAAAACAAACCCTTAAACAGATGGAGAGATGAAGATTGAAGCCCAAACAAGAGGATGATCTCCTCCACTTGTGAAAACTTCTTCACAAACAAAACAAACCCTTAAACACACTTTAAACCCTTGTTTAAAACTTGTTTTAAAAACTTCTTAGATTTCCTTGAAAAGAGATCAGCAATTGGGTATTTATACCCACTCAAGATCTCAAAAAAAAACCCCAAACCAAAATGACAAAACAGCCCCAGAGAAATCAGCTCAGAAATAGCCGTTAGGAGACAACGGCTATATTGTCGGTCGACCGAAAATTCAGTCGGTCGACCGATGGAGCGAAAAAGCACGAAAAACAGCTCTGGACAATCGTCGGTCGACCGGTGCGGTTGACCGATGGAGCTTTCGGTCGACCGGACCGGTCGACCGACAGACTCTCTGTCGTACAGTGAACATTTGACCTCAGGTTCGGTCGACCGAAAACTGATACTCAAAAACTGTATATCTGATTTTAAAACGCTGTAAAGAAAGAATTTCTTGAATATCACTTACCATTTATGAAAAATCATCGGTTTTGTAAAAAACATGCACGAACATGCACGAATGAAAAACATGATTTTGTAAATTCCATTAAACATAACAAATCAATTCCAAACTTGATGAAACTTTGCGAAATATTTATAAGCATGAAAACAAACATGTTAGAAAAAGAATTTCTCAAATTGAATTTCCATTTGTGAAAACTCATGTATTTTGCAAGTATGTCCAAAACCCAAAACCATGCATGTATATATATAACTATATATATACATAGAAACCAAATACGTGTGTGTATATTATATTGAGCTTAGAGTATCTAAGACACATAATATAAATCCTAAACTAAATTACCCAAGCTAGATCTTGATCTTCAATAAGCTCTTCTAGGTAATCTCGCGGATGAAGCTTTAACTTGGATCTTGAACTTTGAATAGCAAGGCTTCACCGATATTCCGCCAACCTCCTTTGGATATGATCGTTGAAGCTCTATTACATCCATCCTCCAACTCGTTGTTTGTCTACAATACATAGGAAAACACAAATACTAGACAAACAACATTAGTAGTAAATTGTTTGTTAAACATTATCAAAAAAAGAAGGTCAACAACTTAGAATTGGCATATTACTGTTTCTATGAAAAGATAAAAATTTCAACTGGAATATTATAATACATATGTAGGGGTATCCATCCGGGCCGGGCAAAATCGGAACCCGGACCCGGACCCGGTTGGACCAGGCCGAGCATGGGCCTGAGCGGGTCGGGCTCCTAGCCACCCGGGTTTTTTTGTTTTTCAATTTTTTTATCTCTTTAAAATTTCAATAATACATAAAAAATTACACAAAATTTTAATAAAAACAATAATATTATTAATCACTTGAAATTACATAAATTACAAATACAAAAAACTTAAAAAATGACAGATGATAAAAATAACTTCTTTATTAATAATCAGTAAATCATTTACAAGTATAAATTTATTTCGAAATTCGTCGCATCATAATAGATGAGTACATCCCAATTAGGTTGGAACCTACTCACCTATATCACTATCATTTGTAACGTACACTTTTACCCCGACTTGAGTTCGAAGAAGCCGAACTTGTAGACTGCTGTGTAGCTACACCATATTTAGCTGCATATTTATCATATAAGCTTTAAAAATAATTTCTAATAGTATTATGATGAGTAATAGCAAAAACAGTGCTACCATCATCAGTGTCTATTATCTGTCCACTATACAAGGAATATAACAAACTTCGAAGGCTAATATCCTTCAATTGTGGATCAATAAGAACCCCCAAACCAAAAATAACAGGAATAAGCCTAAAATACTTATTAAATTTACTTTCCATTTGAAAATCATACTTCTAAAATAATCATCAATACGATATTTATTTATTTATTTTAATATTTAAAATTTGTAAAGCTGCTAAAGTAATGGTTGAATAATAACAGGTAAATAATAACATTATAGTATCATAAAAAACTTATAGCATCTCTTTTAAATTATTTATAACTGTCAATTCATCTTTAGTAATTCCATACATGCTACTAGAGCTAGAACTAGAAGCATAAAAAATAATAAAATTATTTATAATTTAATTATTTATAAGTTCTTTATATTCTATTGCTACATTTAACATTGCATAGATGAAATTCCATCTATGGTCAACATCTTTTGGAATCAGTCTGGATTTTATAATTTTTTTTTTACAGAATTGTTTCCATCTTCTAATTCTTTATTCAGAAGCATTATGCATATAAGTTACCGTCCTAACTTTTTCTATCATGGATTTAATTTTAGTAAATGTACTTTGAACAATTAAATTTAAAATATAACAGATATATCTAATATAAAAAAGATCACCATGACATGGCAATGACAGAGATTGTTTCATAAAATCAACAGCTACATTATTATTATTTGTATTATCTAGTGAAAGAGAAAATATTCTTTCTGAAATTTCTAATTTTAAAAGTTCTTCAATTATTAAATTTGCAATACTAATACCAGTATGTGACTCTTCAATTGCAATAAAGGAAATAACTCTTTTAAACATTTGCTAATTTTTATCAATCCAGTGTGTTGTGATACATAAATAATCAGTTTGTGATTTAGATGTCCAAATATCAGAAGTTAAAGAAAATTTATAGTTTTAACTTTGAAAATAAGAAATTATTTTCCCTTGTTCCTCCTGATAATATTTTAAAATATCACGTTAACAAGTTTGACGAGAAATTTTTTTAAATGCGGGGTAAAAACTATCTATAAATAAATCTTCAAATTTATCATCTTCTATTAATTTAAAAGGAAGATTCTTAAGAATGATAAACCTGATGACGCATTTCCTGGCACGAGCTGCGTCATAATTCCAACTACCGAGACTACCAGAAGATGATGATTGTGAGATCATAGATTGCCGGATATCACCTTGAGGCGTCTAGCCTTTGTTGTGTTTATCTAAATGGCGTTTAAGGTGGTTGGTGCCGCTCTTATGATGAGCTTGGAAAATCTTGTCGCACAACGCACATTTAGCCTTCTGGGTGAGGATCCTACTGTGTTCATCATTAGTAACGTCTATCTTCTCAAAAAATTCCACACATCGGATCTCGGCCTTTTAGGAGCTCTTGATGTAGAATCGTCGCCACCGAATTCAGAATCAATATCGGTAGGATCGGTAGGAGTAGTTGTCGTAGGATGACTCATTTTGGGAGTTAGGTTTTGCTCTTCATAATCAGATCTGAAAGCCATTTGATTAAAAAATTAGAAAGTAAAGCAATTATTAGAGATTATAAGAGTGTATAAGAGAGTATTAGGGAGAAGTAGATGAGTTTTGGATGAGAAAAACAAATAAAACCCCCTCCATTTATAGAGGCAGCCCCCTAGACAAATGACCAAAATACCCTTTTTTTTACCATTTTTGACCGATTTTGAGGGGCAAAACGGTCAAAATGATCGGGCCGGCCACAAAGGTCAAAATTTGACTGTTGTGGCCATTAACAATCACAAAAGTGACATTTAATGCCGGGCCGGGCCGGGCCGGGCCAACCCTGCCCGGCATTTGCCCGCAACAGTCCGTTTTTACGCCCAAGCGGGGCGTCGACGAGGCTGCCAATACCTGGGCCCGGAACCCGGTCTGGCCTGAGTTTTCGGGGCAAACCCAGGCCCTGGTCGGGCACCGGGCCGACGGGCCAAATGGACAACCCTACATATATGTAACTGGTTCAAAGCGTCGTATGAGAACATTTGGGTTAAAATTTTCATGTTTGAATAATAGGGATACCAATGTGCCAACTTTAAGCAACGTAGAATATAAATGTCACGGAAAACTTGTAAGGAAGTATAAGTGCAAAATACGTGAAACTATAAGCATATAAGTGATATTTAGCCATTTCTTTATGGATCCTTATATTTATCTCTTCATTTAGAACATACGAAACATAGAAACTAGAAACGTCAAGCCTTCCCAGGAAAAAAAGAGAAAAAAAAGAAACTTCAAGAGTATTGACAGCAATGCTCGGATATGAAATGGGTCTATTCAATGGGAGCCCTTGATAAATTTTAAGGATTCGTATGACATACTAAATCATTAAAAAAAATTCTTAAATAAAAATATTTTATTAGATGACATTTTTGAATTTATCAAGATTGTTTTTCACAGATAAAGCAACGTCACTTATTACTCTTGTTCAATTCTTAGACTTTTCACAAAAATTAGCTAGTGTAAAATAGCTAATAACTTTTTTTTGGTTAATTTAATATTACTTCCAATTCTTTGTAACAAATCCGTATTCGCGTGTTACAACAAGGCGGGTGTATCACATTTACACGACAAATGACCCTAAAACTATTACAACCTTGAATTTCTAGAACGATGCAATATTGTAAGTACTCGTGCAGGCATGAATCACACAACAAACAATGTTTTTAATGATATAAATATATTTTTTTCAAATATCATCAAACGTGTTCTTGTTAAAAAAATATGGCCATAGGACAAAAAAGAAGTTAGCAATACCAAAATCGAACGGAGCAGATTTCCTCCACTAAAAGCGACAAGTAACCAATTAGCATGTAAAGCCCTTGGAAAAGTCTCTGGTGACAGCATAACAAACAACACTAAATTATAAATATATACATATCACGATGTACAGAATCATTCAGACAATAAATGCTGGTCATGAGAATTGGACCCGGTCCATTTGGATCGCGAGTCTGACACGAACCAAACCCGAACCCGAACCTGCCTCCTAATTGAAGACCGTATAGGTTTGAACTAATAAAGAATGATTAATGTCAATTTTTCTGTTCGGGCTGGTTGCTACCCCTCCCAATAAGGTTCACTTCCAGGTTTCGAACTCTGGCCAAGAGCCAGGAGCTCACCTAGAGACCAACTGTGATACTAGCAGTCCATATAAAGACCATCCAACTGGACATATCCAATAATACCATCTCCACCAAGTTGGTATTCTCTGTGTACATGAAATTTTTTGTCTCAGTGTGAAAAATAGAGAGGGTTAACTCCACAAAAACCCCTAAAGTCTGGGCGGATTTCATGAAATTTATGCAAAAACAGATTATAGTCCTAGAAAATCAGTAAAGCTTTAACTTACTGGCCATGGAACTAAGAATCCTGCAAATAAATTCCAAATCCCACAAAATGCCGATGAGAGTATAGCAGCTACATTACTATTTGGCGTCAACGCCACTGTCATCATCCCGTATAGTGTGAAATACATGAACGAAGCGAACATGAAAAAGAGATACCAAAAGAATTTGAAAGCGCCCCACTGGAAGTTGATCATCGAGTAAACGTACTATGAGACAATATATTATTGTTTGAAGGATAACATATGGAACCTCGACCATGACCTGCAGAAAAATCAAACACTATTACATGTGGAAATTATGTTACTAATTTCGATTATTTTTTGCACTAAGGTCACCTGTGCATAAGCATAAGGTAGAGCAGAATACATGCCAGCAGCCTTTTCCCTGTAAAATACAGTTCGCTCTACGTCCACAACTGGTTGCACAATTTGGCTATTTTGAATTCCTAAGAACAAAACTGCAGAGTATATTGATCCCATAGAATTGAACAAATCTTGACTCGTCCCCCTGCAGAAATTTACTTTATCTAAATATGAAACTATGCAAGGCATAATGATTTTCTCACCAACGGTTCAAATGCGACATACATTTTGGAGCCGAGTCCCCAAAACATAGTTCCAAGCAATAAGGCTGTAATAGTTGTTATGAAAATCCTTATGGCACTGTATTCTGGATTTCTCCAGTATGACTGGTGTTGTTTCCAGAGGCAAGCCGCGCATTGTGCTAAGAACGATTGCGGATATTGGGTAGGAAAATGAAGATCTACTGAACCCGGATTAGGAGAGCTGAGTTCATTAATCAATGCCTTGTTTCTTCTGTAGCATGGACAAAATATGATTGTAAGATAGCCAAATATGAGAACAAGGTAGATGATCAATAAAATGTATATAGCGTGTAAAATTTTACCTGAACATATCCGAATTCTTGTATAGTTCAGCAAAGTTGATCCCTAGAATCTCCTCCTGACCTACAGTTGTCACCTCCAGCATCCATGTTGCAGGATTATAGCTGTCTTTTATGTTGGAGACTCCATTAATGCTCTTGAATAGATGATACCCAAACTATTCAATATGCACGCCATTGTATTTAAAATGGAAGATTTTAGTTTATTTTAGTCCTACCTCGAAGTACTTGATCAAATGACATGAATGTCGTCCTAGTGGACCTACATATATTTCCTCCCCTCCTCGCTTCATCAAGAATAGCTTCAACCAAGTAATATGTAGATTAATTGCTACAAAAGTACACAACGTGTTTATCTGAATCCTAATTTACCTCATCAAAAGCTTCAAAGATGTCAATGCTGGGCTGATGAATAGTACAAACTACTGTTCTTCCAGTATCAACTGCATGTGTTTCTAACAGTTCTCATCACAATAGCTGCTGCTCTTGCATCGAGGCCCGAAGTTGGCTCATCCATGAATATAATCGAAGGATTAGCAACGAGCTCAACAGCTATTGTTAACCTTTTGCGCTGCTCAGTTGACAAGCCACTAATCCCAGGTAACCCAACAATTGCTGCTTTTAGCGTATTCAACTCTACAAGGTCCATAATCTCTTCAACAAACATCTACGGACATTAGGCTCATGATTAGGTTCCATACTATAGGCATTTAATTGAAAGAAAAGAGGTAGCTTTCCATTTATAATTTTAAGTAATCTAAATAATCATTTCCTCAGCAAAGTAATCTAGAACATTGATTTTGTATTGTTGACCATTTAGTGTATATTGTGTGCATGTGTGAAAACAAACATTTGGAAAAGTTAATCTAGAGTATTCCTTATACCTTATATCAATGTAATATATATAAAATTAGAAGAAAAATAAAAGTCTAGATTACTTTTTGAGTGTACAAACTACAAACACAGTTGTTGAACATTGCGTAATCATTTATCCTTGTATATGTTGATTAAGTTTACTGGATTTAATTTATAGTGATCAAGTAGAAAAAGATATACATTGAGCAATATATCATGAGTTCACCTTTTCTGATGTGTCCTTGTATATGTTGATTAAGTTTACTGGATTTAATTTATAGTGATCAAGTAGAAAAAGATGTACGTTCAGCAATATATCATGAGTTCACCTTTTCTGATGTTTAGAGGAGCCATCAGAAAAACTATGTTATTGCACCTCTCAAGTTGTATGTTTTTCTCTCTTCCATTCCTTTTGTTTGCACAAGCCCTTAAGAATTACCCATATACTGTTTTCTACGAGTCAGTTATAGTCCTTTTATATATCATTTAGTATCTTGAACTTATTAACCAATTATAGTAAACTTAGGCTTTCAGGTACTCAATCTGCTGACCTTTCTTGTACGATCGTCAACTTCAGGAGCTAGTCGGAGCCAAGCAGAGAAAAGAAGAGACTCGTATACTGTAGTGTAATATGTGGTGAATGTATGTCATTCTGCTCACAATAGCCAGATATACGAGCAAAAGTTTCCTGTTTCTTCGGATAGCCAGATATTTTGATGCTCCCCTCTATATGTCCGCCTGTTTTTCGTCCGGCCAATACATCCATTAAAGTTGTTTTCCCAGCTCCAGTGACCCCCATTAGTGCCGTTAGAACTCCAGGCCTAAAAGCACCATTTAGGCCATTTAGGAGCAGTAGCCTGTCCTCTGTAATACCTTGAGCTTTCAATTCCTGGAGAAAGAATTTTGAATTAATTCCTAACTCGAAGAGCAATTCGTATAAGCATTGTTTTGAACTTACAAATCAAGGGATGGCCCATGCCATCCCTTGCCTATTTAAGGCCACCTTCACACAACGTGAAGGGGGGTTGATTGGCTGCTGCTTGCTTGACTAGCTAATCTTCCTAAGGTTGAACCTTGGCTCATTTGCTAAAGGCTCCCTCATTTGCTCGACTTGAAGATTGCAGAGACGAGACTCGTCTGAACTCTCAGACTTGAGGCTCTTAGGCTCTTTGCAAGCTCTTGCATAGCAGCCCTCTTCAAGCAGTCAGCCCACAAGCACGAGCACTGGTTTGGCCTTGGGTAGACTCGAACTCACCCAATCAGGCTTCTACTGCGTACTGAAGCTTGCCCGCAAGTTCGATCGGATCGTCCAAGGGAAGCAAACTCGGCACGAGCACCAAGGGAGGCGTCCTACCGCCACCAAAGACCCCACGTTAAACAAGAAGGGTATTCCCTCCGTTGTTGTTGTAACTTTGATTCATTAGTTTGTAATAAGCTATTCTCATCAATACAAACGAGATCTTCGTTTCGGGAAATCAAATTTTACACCTACAACAAGTATTAAAAAAAGACCTATACGTGCGGTTCGTGCATAAGTAAGCAGCCCATCTAGCAATGAATAAGTTAAAAGGAAACAAAAGGAGGAAAGTAAAGCCTATTCTAATTATGATGCTTTTTTTTTTGAAAATAATTACGATGCTTTAACTGCTATATAGCAGGTTCTATCTTTTTCTTTTCTTTTAATAAATGAATAAATTTTCATTAACCAATGAGCAATGTATGTATTGTAGAAACGACTACAAAGTTCAGGAAAAACAAAGCAGACAGGAATCTGGAGGCTTCATAGTCGACCGCGAGGTAAGGCCCGGTCGACCGTAAACGTGCATATGACAGAGTTTGCTTCTGCACTTTGGGCGGTCGACCGTCGCGGTCGACCAAGAGATCAAGGTCAACCGCCGCGGTCGGCCGTCAGACCCTGTAATCGATTTTTGGTTTCTGTCATTCTGTTCGGTCGACCGCTAACTTGTCGGTAGTCGACCGCGAGTCGTGCTTGGCCTTGGGCTTGGTTTCCTGTTCTGTTTGGGATTAGTATTTGTTATAAATACAAACACGATTTTAGGGTTTCTTAGAGGTTGAAAAGGGGTTGTTTTGAGCACAGAAAAGAGTCTTTTCTGGAGCTATTGGTTAGGGTTTTGTTTGAGAGATTGAGAGCTTTGTGTGAGATATTAGTTTGTGGATTTGTAATCTCTATTTGTATTCTTCTTCTCTATTAGTGAAAACTCATCCCCTTCTTGCCCTGTGGACGTAGGTAACTTGTCGAACCACATAAATTTGTTTGTTTGTGTTTGTGCCGTTATTTTGGATTGGTTGGCTTTCTCTCTTGGCATTGGTATTTGTTCTCGGCATCCTATCAGTTTGGTCGTCGCGCACAATAAGTGGTATCAGAGTCTTGCGCTTGGGTTAGGTAGAGGAGTAGATCGCTTTGGAAGCTCGTCTAGGGTTTCAGTTGGTGATAAATGTGGGATTTTTACTATTGTGGATCTTGTCTTCTATCGTGTGAGGGTGAGATCTTTCGGAGGCTCTTGTTAGGGTTTCAGTTGGAGGTAAAAATCTACATTTCTCGCATTTTGGATCTATTTCTTTTAGTTTGTTTCGCATTGATTTGTTGGTACTTTGAGAAAGATGGCCGAGAAAGAAGGAGTTGTGGAGGGTATTTCTGGCGTGAAGACCGTCCAAAGTTTGAATATTTACTCTATAAAGATAGATGTGAAGAAATTTAACGGCACTAACAATTTTGGTCTTTGAATATGTGAAGTCTTGGATGCGCTCAATGCACAAAATTTGGAGGACACTGTGGAGTTGGACGAAAAACCGGATGACATTGAGGAGAAGGTTTGGAAGAAGATGAATCGAACGATGTGTGGTGTCATTATATCCTGTTTAACACAATATTTGAAACATGATGTGATCAATGAGACTTCGGCTAAGAAGATTTAGGAGATCCTAGAGAGCAAGTATTTGACGAAGAGTGTGAAAAATCGCTTTCATTTGAAGAGGAGGCTTTATCGCTTCCAATTGAAGAAAGAAACCTCTATTGGTGATCACATGAACAACTACACAAAGCTATTTACGGATTTGGCGAATGTAGATGTTATGATTGAAGATGAGGATAAGACGTTGTTATTGTTGAGTTCCTTGCCCGACGAGGAATATGAGACATTCGTTTTTACTCTTATTAATGGGAAGACATCTCTTTCGTATAGTGAGGCTACCGCTGCACTTGTGAATTATCAGCTTTGGAAGAAGGATAAGAAGACTTCGATTGATACAGTAGCGAGGGCATTGGTCGCAAGAGGGAAGAGTCCAAACCGTAGTAGGAGATCATAATCTAGAGGAGCACATCCTACAATTGGTAAGAATGAATGTGCCTTTTATAAAGAAGATGGACATTGGAAAGCCGAATGCCCAAAGTTGACAGATCGAGCCGGGAAGAATAAGGGAAAAGCTATTCAAGCTTCAGAGGTGAATGTTGCCAAGACTAGTGGTGACAATTCATATTTGGATTCTTCAGGCTATTGTTTTCGTCAAAAGTTGCCTTCATCATTGATTTCATTAGAAACTTCAAACGTTACAAATGAATTCAAATAACAAAAAATAAAAATTACAACTATCTTGAAAATAAACACAAGATCCGTTTATCGTCTCTTGCTTGCATGGGTCTTTGGCTTGTAACGGGGACGTTGATATCCGTGGACTACCTGGCAATCAGATCTGCTCCCGAAAAATCGGACAGAGCTTCGTCGATCCGCGAGGAGATCTAAAAGCTCAAAGCGCCTATCTCGGCTAAAACGAGATATTTGCTCTTTTTAGGATTACCGGCGAAGGGTAATACTAAGGAACGGACACGGGTGATGAAGACCTCTCCTGTGTTGAAGCGCTCGACCACTCTTCACTGCAGCAGGGCTTCGCCAACTCTCTAAAAATCCAGATCCTCCAAAAGTGAGGTCTAAGGTTCCTATTTATAGGCAATGAGGGCACCTAGGGCGTTGGGACACCCCTGGGGTGTCCAGGCAAAGCCTAGACACCCCTGGGGTGTCTCAGAAAATCCGAGACACCCTAGGGGTGTCTCGGAATTTCCGAGACACCCCTAGGGTGTCTCGGAATTTCCGAGACACCCTTGGGGTGCCCTCATTGCCTATAAATAGGAACCTTAGACCTCACTTTTGGAGGATCTGGATTTTTGGAGAGTTGGCGAAGCCCTGCTGCAGTGAAGAGTGGTCGAGCGCTTCAACACAGGAGAGGTCTTCATCACCCGTGTCCGTTCCTTAGTATTACCCTTCGCCGGTAATCCTAAGAAGAGCAAATATCTCGCTTTAGCCGAGATAGGCGCTTCAAGCTTCTAGATCTCCTCGCGGATCGACGAAGCTCTGCGCTCGTCCGATTTTTCTGTGGCAGCAGATTCGTGATTGCCAGGTAGTCCACGGATATAAACGTCCCCGTCAAGGCCAAAAGACCCACGCAACGCAGACGATAAACGGATCTTGTGTTATTTTCAGAAGTGTAATTTTTATTTTTTGTTATTTGATCATTTTAACGTTTGAAGTTTCTAAATGAACATCAATGATGAAGGCCAACTTTGACGAAAAACAAGCTGGCGACCACAGTGGGAGCAACAGCCTCGCGCCCGAGGCTTGTCGTGTGACGCAAACCGGCATTCAGATCCGGCCGGAATGAAGAGATCGGAGTATGAGTTCGATCGAGCAGAAGTTTGAGAGAGTACCTCTCTTCCTCCTCTCCAGCGCCTCTTCCAACAGCGCAGGAAGGCATCCTCTTCCAGAAATGTCGCAGG